CTGCTTTCCAGCTCCATTCTCCTGCGCAGGGCAACAAAAGAAGACCCAGCCAATCAACTGGAACTCAATAGGAGGTGGAAAATAGATGGGGGCGGGGCCAGTCAGAGCTGGTATTTGCCGGTTCTCCGAATTACTCAAAATTTCCACTACTGGTTCTCCAGAACTGGTCAGAACCTGCTGAATACCACCGGTGGGTCTCCCTCAAGGGATGGCGAATCCTACCACTGACAGAATATGTTGGCTTTAAAGAATTTCTGGCAATCTCATATGGAGATTCAGAATCAGTTATTTATGTAGGGAAAAATGTATCATGTATATTTTTGAATTCTGCCTCATCTTTATCCATTTAAAAAATGCTTACTGCTAGTAATATATGCAAACAGATATAGTCTTATAAAAACATACATAGCTGTATGTGTGTTGTTCAGTCAAGCACACATATTTAATCATTTTTCTTTCTTCTCTTAGAATGCCCGAAACCCCCAAACATTGCAGCCATAGTGGGGGGCACTATAGCTGGAGTGGCTCTTATTGGGCTCCTTCTTCTCCTGGCTTGGCGGCTAGTGGCAGAGTTGATTGATCGCAGAGAATATCAGAGATTTGAGAAGGAAAAATCCAAGGCCAAATGGAATGAGGTAATGTTACGTCTCACCTTTACAAAGGAGGTGAGAAGTCCGAACTCCAACTGAATACAAACAAGCAAGCAAATCCAGTAATTATAGAGTTAATTCCATGAGCCGATAAAGTTCTTGGCAGTCTCACACACGCTGTCTGCCAAGTCCGACAAGAAAGCAGGAATATAAATCACACAAGCTGTCACAACACAGGATACTCCGAGGCTCCTCTGAATAAGTCACACATTGTCCCATACGAAGCTCTCAGAGCGAACGCACCCACTTTTATTCCCTGTGGGGTGTGTCAGTCCCTCAGCTCAGTCTCTGATTCGTCCCTTCCTCCTGCGTTGCAGCTCACACTTTTGCCTGCGACGCTGCCTCGCATCAAGCCAGAATTCCTCTCCTTGATTCTCTGTCAGAGACTCCGATATGCCCTCCTCCTTTTCCTGATTAGCCTCAGGTTTTCCCTCTCGGTTATCTGCCGACACCTGAGGCACAATCAGGGAAGAAGGCATTGCCGAAGAGGAAGGTCCTGGGGAGGAAGGCATTTCCAAATCCTCCTCTTCCCCATTGTCCGAGTCTTCATCCTCTAACAATGCAGGCTCAAACCTCAGGGCCACAACAAGGTAAGATGTTTAACTTTTGTGGAAAGATATAAAGGAAGGAGAAGACCTACTTGTGGCTTTTTCTTCCTGTATTTGAGTTATTAATCAAAGTACTTGATTCAGCTTGGTGTACTTGAACAGATCTTTGGTGTAGATTCTATCGTCTTCTTGCTGTTTAGTTTGGGTTTTATCAAGCTGCTAAGTGAGTTATGATTGTCCATCTGAATCCTGATCTGCTTTTGAAATATTAGGTTTTATTAGCAGCTAAAGGTTTCTGATGTTTTATTGACAGGCTGACAACCCTCTTTTCAAGAGTGCCACTACCACTGTTGTGAACCCCAGATTTAATGGCCAGTGAAATGAAACTTCAGCAACAGTGCAAAGTACAAAGAAATTCTTCAGCAGAAAAACAGAAGATGAATCCATTTTCTTTTCTTAAATCAACCATTACTGCTGTATATTAATTAATTTTGAGAAAACCATTCTGTGGATTTTGCAACATGATTCTGTCCAATTTTTTTTATTTAAACTGTTAGTGTTAAGTATGGTCGGTGGGTCCCATTGAGACATGAGGCTTGAGTAGTGAACAACAGCTCTTTATTAAGGAGGCAGATTCTGAGACAACAAGCCTAGCCGCGGCAGCCCTTTATATAGAGCTGGCCGCGGCCAGGCAGCCTATGACAGTCTTTTAAGCTTGCCGTGTTTGGTTTCACCCAATCGCGGCAAACCCCATACGAACCAATCAGGAATGCGTATATCGTCCAATCACGGCCCGGCTCTTCCGGACCAATAGGAACGCAGGTCTGCGAGCCTGCTTAGTATGGAACAGTTAGCATTAAAGACTTTTACTGCATATGTCAGATGAAGTACTCATAATAACTAGGCCTCTTTCATTCATCACCCACACAAACTGTAGAAAATTGAATTTCAATTTCATGTGAAATTACCTAAAACTCTACTATATTACTATACAGTATGTAAATAAAATTGCCAACTACCACTCAGGGAATTCTTTTAATTAACAATTTTGCTGTTTGTAAGGCCTATTTTAAGGCGAGGTACATAGTAAGAAGGTGATGAGCTATTACCACAAAATGGCAATGGTCCCCTTGGTTTAAATTGCTGATTTTACTACCTCAGAGGGCTTCCAGTACTTAACATATTTCTAGCATTGCTCTTTCCATACATATAGCCTATATGTATCTTTGTGTATGCTTGTCTTATAGTTTACAAAACCAGGCGGGTAGTCAGAGAACCTTGGGGGGGGGGGTTGGGGGGGGGGGGGATATTTGACTATTGTGGAATAGCCTCAAATGGCTTTGGCTCATCCATGATTGTAGGTCAACAAGCTTTGGGAGGCAAACCCAAAACATAAAATTTCGTTTCTTGGTTACAAGGGACAATTCTGAAACTATTATCAAATGAATTGGAAAATCTATAAAGACTTTTATTCATCTGGTGCTATATCAGGGATCTGATGATATGATAACTTTGAGAAGCAGATTATGAGCTGAGGATGAGCTTGCCAGATGTGCCAGAAGCCCCAGTAATTGGATTGTTTTAAACAACAACATGTTGGTAAAAATGTACTTGCATTTCTTTTCCACTGTTCAGAATGTCTAGTTAGTCCAGAAAAATAAGTTTTTCCAAAAATATTGCCCACTGAGTGATGAGATGGAGTGGTAATGTCTGTTTTCTGGTTTAAACTTAACAACTATATCAGGTGCTGAATATAGGAAATCCTTCTATGAAAAAATGCTGACAGATCCACAAATTATCATCAAATAGCTTTTTGGGGGGGGGCTGTTGATTAGCTCTATAATAAAAAAAACATGCTAACTCATAAATCAGGCAAACCATATTATAATTGATGTGATGCATGAACAGAGTTTTATCTTGGTTTACCAATTGCATTAAACCATTTATAATAGTTTGGTTAAATTGCTTAAGTCCACACAATATAAGCAAATGCAAAGCATTATGAGACATGGTAGCAGATGAGATGTTTCATTTTTGATCTATTGGCACTGTAGACATCAATTGCTGGTATAATAGCACAAATTATGGACATTACACAAGGAATAGTATTGTCACCACTCATTTTAACCAATTTTAATTAATAGAATGGTACATGAATTAAACTTCTTTGTGAGCAAAAACAACAACCCTGTAGTTCTACAGCAAAAGATTGGTTTGATCAGGCAAGCTGTATGCAACCAAGATAAAACAAGCTTTAGCACTGTATATTAAACTTTGTCAGTTTTCAAGATGCTAGGCATGATCATCCACAGGGAAGGAACTTGTGCAAGACAACAATTGCAATTTAAACTCTCATGTTTTGTATTAGCACTGCAATGTATTACATGTATATGTACGTAAGGAGAAGAATTTGTGATGTCATGATGCGTATAGCATTGTTTTCACAAAATTTTGGTTTGGTGCGGATTCCAGGGACTTAATACGGTACTTGATAAATGTTGTTAATGCATCATTGAAATCAATACTGATTTAAAGCCATTTCAATTTGTAATTATGTAGCCATGCTTTCAATTCTCAACTATACACTGATACCAATAAATCTCATGTACATTTCAATTTGTGTTCAAATATGCCTTGTGTGTTGAAGTAGTCTGAGATGTGAAAGCGGTTATTTGGTATCAATTTTATTTCCCCTTAAATTATGAACAGATAGGATTTTCATGCAATTAAAAGCAAGTAGGAGAAGACTGATTATGTAGCATAATGAGATTCAGGTATGTAATCAGAAATATAACAGATTCAAACGTACTTCCAATTTTCCTAGTACTCTGCTCCACTATTCTTCGCAACTTTGCCCCACCCCATCTTCTCAGCTGCTTCCGGCTGGCCCTTCCACCCGTCAATCATCATAGCATCTTCTCACCAGCATGGCTGCCTCCCATCTTTCTAGGACTGTCTCACTGACCTGATCATTTCCTAATTTTCCCAGTGTCTTCCCACTGGCCCACTGCCTTCTGAGCTTCTCAGTGTATGCCTGCCCATTCTTTAATCTGCTTGGAGTACTTCTGTGAACTTGAAAACTTTCCTAATCTTGGTATTTTCCTAATCACCATATTTTTCAGGCATTTGCCTGCTAACCTGCCAATCTTACCATCCTCCCAGAACCATCTGCCTTAAAATCCATTAAGCATGACATTGAGATTTAGAACTGTGGATGGAACTAATATCATGCAAGCTGAATGTCACTGTTGCCACAAAACCTGAAAGACCCTCCAGATCATATTTTGAGGATACACAGAGAGATAATTGCAATTATTGAAACTGTTCTAGCAGAAATAGACAACTGGATCCCAAGCAACAAATTTTTTTTTTTCACCATACTAGAATTTGTGAAGAATGGAATTCCGGGATTATATGATTTTTTTTAAAAAAAGATGCAATAACAATTGAATTAGATAACACCTAGCATTGCCATAATGATTATCTTATGGGAGGGAACCAAAGATGAGATGGTAGAACAGTCTTAGAAATGCCCTAGCATCTTCTGTCAAAATATGTTGATGATGTAGCTGGGATATTGCAGATTTCTTGCAAAGGAAACACAGAATAGCAAAGCAATTATAAAATGCAAGGCATATCCATATCTAGAAGCAGCTTGTGACATGTTCACCGATAACAAAATAATAGTGAATTTCTCTATATGAACAGGAATTTAGGTCTTGGATCCAGCACTCATCTACATCATATGTGTTTTTATATTTGGAAGACCAACTTCTAAACTAGAGGCTAATTATTCAGAAAGTATTCATTTCTATCTCAAACGATTTCTGAAAGTTTTCCACCATTTTTAAGTATGTCTCCACAAATTCTCTACACGAAAGTCAATTTTGGATAACTTTCCATGTCTGAACAGATAGACGCCACTCACTGCTGCAGCTACCATGGTGAGGAAGAGGCCTCTATTGATCACCTTTAACAACAATGAAAAAATTGAATTTTGGTAAAAGATTTGAAAAATATTCCAGGTGGAAACAATTGTAATTATTTTGCCAACGTTTTTAGTAAGACTTAAATCTAGATATTTAAGGCTACTGTTCTGAACACACATCAAAGTCAGCCCCAAAGAAATTCAGGTTTGAGTTCAACAAGCATTTCTTGCATCCTTAATTCCAATTTTTATTTCTTTGTTATATCACTCTCTGTTCTCATCTGTCCCTTTACCTCACTATGAAACTGGTAAGATATGGCACAAGGGAATCTGATGATGATGATGATCATATAACCACCCTAGTTCATTAGTTTTCTCAGAACTGTTTGGTGAGATTGGGTTCATATTCCAAGAAGGAAGAGAGAGTCCTGGAAGGAAGAGATTTCAGGGCAGGCTGAAATGCTGATCCTGAACAGCCTCAGGACTCAAAAATTCTAGCTAGGGGATTATATGTAGGGGTCAGATTTGAAAATTTTAACAACCGGTTCTATGGGTGTGGCTTAGGTGGTGGGCATGGCTTGGTGGTCATGTTATTGGCTGGGTACGGCCAACCCAATATCACATCGAGGCACGCATCTCCTCACCTAGCCTCTCATGACTGTGGGGATGCTGCAACAGTCGTAAGTGTGAAAAATGGCTATAAGTCACTTTTTTCAGTGCCATTGTAACTTTGAATGGTCACTCCACACAAGCAAAGTACCAGCAATGGAGCGGAAAAAACTCCAGAGAAGTTCCTGAGACAGGAAGTCTAGTCCTGCCAAGAACGTAATAACGGTTAATGGAGAGGCTGTTTCTGTAAGCAACACCAGAATGTTTCCTTCCTGCCTTCCTAATAGGATTAGGCCAGTAATTTCTTCTAACAGCCGGTTCTCTGAACTGCTTAGAATGTTAATTACTGGTTCTAGTGAATAGGTGCGAACTAGTACTGTGTTTCTCACAAAATAAGGCCGGGCCTTTTTTTTTTTTTGAGCCCCGAAAAAACGGCTAGGCTGTCTTTTCGGAGGTGACTTGATTCCCCCTTGGGCAGCCTCGCCACCAGCTGCTCCTAACGGTTGATCATGGTGAAGCGCAGAGAGCTCCCTATTCCCACCAAACACCTTTGCTGCAGACCCAAGACCTTTGGCACCCGGCGCTGTTGCTTTCCCTTTTGTCCATTCTGCCGCCACGTTTGGAGCTGCCGCTTCCATGTTTGGAGCACCGCTGCCACGTTTGGAGCTGCCTCTTCCACGTTTGAAGCTGCCGCCATGTTTGGAGTGGCGGCAGCGTTCCAAATGGCGGTGGTGCTCCAAACAGCGGCAGTGCTCCAAACATGGAAGCAGCAGCTCCAAACGCGACGGCAGCTCCAAATGCGGACATGGCAACTCCAAACAGCGGCAGTGCTCCAAACGTGGAAGCAGCAGCTCCAAACGCGGCGGCAGCTCCAAATGCGGACATGGCAACTCCAAACAGCGGCAGCGCTCCAAACGTGGAAGCGGCAGCTCCAAACACAGTGGCAGCTCCAAATGTGGATATGGCAACTCCCAACAGCGGCAGCACTCCAAACACAGCGGCAGCTCCAAATGCAGAAGCGGCAGCTCCAAACGGCAAGTCCCCCCGCCCTTCCCCCTTATTTTGCATGTTTTAAAATAGGCTTAAATTTGGGGGGAGGGGCTTAATTTGATGTTATGCCAATAAAACATGCTGGGCCTTCCTATTGGTGAAGTCCGTATTGTTGGAGAAACATGGTAGAATCCCACCCCTGATTATATGTAGTGATTGTCCCGAAGTGTTTCTGGCCATGCTCTCCATCCTGATTAACAAAGAGAGGATGAGTTGGGTACGACCTTTATGTCTACTGGGAAGCCATTTGCATCTTTATGATATATATAATTTGATTTGATACTACTAGATATTCCAAATTTTCATCTTTATAAAATCTAAAGTGAAGATAGATATACTTTTCAACTTCTTCCTACACATTTGCTACAACAATAAATGTTTGATATAGCTACTTCAGGCAAATCTCATTGTACATGTTGTACTCTGACAATAAAGGTAATAATAACAAATACAACTGAATTTAATTTACCTTATTTTGCCATTTCCATCGTTGCACAGCTTCATGGTATCGGATTCTGGAGAATGTTACCTGAAGGAGATTACAAAATCAATATAGGACCCTGGGCGTATCCCAGAAAGAAAAAGTGGACAGGTGAAAAAATATATATGCAAAATCCTGCAGTATTAAGTGTTAGAGTCTCACCATAGTATACAGAGGAATGATGACAGAGGGCAGGAGGGCATGAAGCCAATTGTCTATATGCTTTCGGAAAATGAACCACCTTGAATTCACACGTTCCCGCATCTGAAATCAGAAAGAGATAGATTTGCATTTGATGACATTGCCCATAATTCAATGGCCAATCAAATATTCTTTAACTCACCTCTATATAATTATACATGGCTAAATCTGAAATTGCATGATCGTCAGGTACCCTCAGCTTTGAAAACATTGGAAGGCAAACACCTGAGGAAAAAGCAGGGACAACACAGGCCTTCTTGAGAGAAAAACTTTGATATGCCACAGAAGATGCAAATAGAAGTTGCAACTAGTTTCCATTCCCTGATAAGCATTAGTTGGATTAGAGTTAGGGTTATACCCTTTTTCATGTTTTATTTATAGCTTTATGAGCATACAGTGTCTAAAGATACAATCTGTGAAGTGTTTATAGTAATATTCTACTTCAGTCCTTGTCAATTCAGGTTCTGCAAGAGTTTTCAATAAAAAAAATAACATTTAAAAAAAAACTTTGCATGTCACATAATACCAGTGCTTGTTGGAAATTTTTAATAGATTCAGCTGCTGGCCTGCCACTTTGCTGTTGCTGATGTCTACCATATAATTTTGTAACTTTATATTTGAGCCTCATCATGTCACCCATTAAGGGACATTTTTTTGAAGTTTTGTATAAAGTTATCTATATTTTTATACATATTACTTAGGGTTAAGTACTTATAATAGCTTCACTATTCAATATTATCTATAGTTGTACATAGTCAGCCTTTTCTTTAAAAAAATGGAATTCAGATTACCGTTACCAAAATTTAATTTAATTAGCTTAAAAAGTTTAGGATGTGTGCCTAGTAAGTTCTTAAAATTTATGAAAGGAAAGATTTTAAGATTGATAACTTTGCAAAACTTTTTTTTTTTTTTCAGGAAAAGGAAGGGAAGGGACTAATTTTTTTAGTTTAAATAGGGAAAAACTTTTTACATAAATCATTGCTCATTAGCATCTTACATAAAAGAAATTTGTGATAAGACTTTTAGGTTTACTTGTATGTTTAAAAAATAAAATATGATTTTTTTAAAGAAAGGAAAAATTGAAGTTTTATCTACAGTATTTGTATTACTGACTTATATTAGACATCCTTTCTGGCAATGGAAAAATCAAACAAAAAGAGAGCCACAAAAAATATAATTCTCAATTCCAAAGAACACCAACAATTACTTATTGTATTAGACTATTATACCTACAACTTACTGACCATGCTAATGTACCATGAGCTATAGAAAAAATATTTTTTTGTAGGGATTCCCTAAGACCTGAACGTTTTTTAAAGAACTTCTCCAGGATAAACAAGGTTGAGAATGGCCTCTCAGTCACATTCTTTCAGCTCGAACCGCCTCACAGGATTGTTTTGGTGGAGAAAATTGGAGGCAGGAACATTATGTAGCCTTGTACAAAATAAAGGCAATATATAATTCTAGCAAATTTTCTCAGATTCAGAATAATGTCAGCTGCTGCTCCATTCAAAATCCAAGAAAGAAATACTTTAAGACTCCATTAAATAGAGAAAAGATATCTTTTACAGGAAATCAAGTGGTAGCAACAAAAGCATTCTGAATCTGAGAAAATGGGCGTGTAAATCACATATACAAAGTGATAGCAACGTTCCCACCCCCAATAGTTCAATTGGCTCATCCAATTAAAAGTTGTGTATGTCATCATGTGGGCATCTCCAGGTGGTGATAAGGCCTCTGTCCGTTGACCTTGACATATTTTGATAAAGAGTTCCAGCTGCGCATTACATAGGATAGAAGCCTAAGCAAGAACTCCCCCCCCCAACTTATACAGTTCTGTTTTGTAACACCTCCAGCTCACTTCCCATAACCACATCCCCCCTCCTCGCCCCGTTACTTATGACAGCCGAAAGATGCAAAGCAAAGGGAGAAAATCTTGAAGGCAGACAAATACATTTCTGAGGGTTGTTGTACACAAGGCCACTTTCTAAAAAGCTAGGGCTTAGACAACTAAACTAGCTGCGTCCTTGTCTTCTGCTGAACACAAGGTTGACTTAAATGAGATAAGAGCTGCCAGCTTGGATTGCTAAATTCCAAATTAATACTGCCTCAGCCAACAAGGGGTGTTGCCTGACCATACTTTCTCTGTTTCTGTTATTCTGGGGATTCAATGCCATTCTGCCTATTCTTACCTTACTGCAAGGTTCTCCAAACTTGGCATCTTTAAGACTTGTGGACTTCAACTCCCAGAATTCTTCAGCTAACATGACTGGAGGAGGAATTCTGGGAGTTGAAGTCCACAAGTCTTAAAGATGTCAAGTTTGCCTTACTGTATGTCCCATGGCTGTTCTAGTTTCTGCCAGCTGAAGCCTCTCATGACAGCATTGCCATTCCTTTGCAGTGTGTATCAGCTGCCGCTTCCTCCCAATTCACCCTATACCCAACTTTTACAGCTTTTCCAACTGAAACATATCCCAGATAGGGAGGAAGGGCACAGGCTGAAACAGGAGTTGGTCTGAATTGCTCCTTTTCATTTTTCCTGCATGCCTGCAATTTGTCAGCCAGAGAATTTTTGGATAAAGGCTTCCCAGTCTTTCAAAGCTCACCAAGCAGTGCTATTATGATTCCCACCACCAGGTATCACTCAGTGAAGGGAAATAAAGGCAGGGAAATCCATCAAAGGCTTTCTTAAATTGACTCCATTACACTCACTCACATTGGCTGGTCTCTGTTATTTTACTGAAGAAGCAGAAGAAAGGGGCTGAACCAAGAAGCAGCAGGGGGTTGGACTAGAAGACCTCCAAGGTCCCTTCCAACTCTATTATTCTATGTTTTAAGATTCAGTTCCTTAGAGCAGTGCAATTGATGCTGGCCTCCATGTCTACTGGCTAAAAAACTAGAGGATAATAGATAAAAGCAGCTTGAGGAAGAACTCATGACCAGGGATGGGATTCAAATTTTTTAACAACCGGTTCTGTGGGCGTGGCTAAATTGGTGGGCAGGGCTTGGTGGTCATGTTATTGGCTGGGCATGGCCAACTCAATATCACTCACATCAAGGCACGCATCTCCTCGCCTGGCCTCTCATGACTGTGGGGATGCTGCAACAGTTGTAAGTGTAAAAAATGGTCATAAGTCACTTTTTTCAGTGTCATTGTAACTTTGAATGGTCACTCCACACAAAGAAAGTACCAGCAAAGGAGGGGGAAAAAACTCCAGAGAAATTCCTCAGACAGGAAGTCTCGTCCTGCCAAGAACGTAATAAGGGTTAATGAAGAGGCAGTTTCTGTAAGCAACACCAGAATGTTTCCTTCCTGCCTTCCTTACAAGATTAGGCCAGTAATTTCTTCTAACAATTGGTTCTCCGAACTGCTTAGAATGTTAACAACCAGTTCTAGCGAATAGGTGCAAACTGGTAGAATCCCATCCCTGCTCGTGACCTTTATTCAGCACTCCCTTTTATAGAAAACAGTAGAGCTAGGGGGTAGGATAGGATTATTAATTTCATTGAACTAACTACCAAGCAAAGGGCAAATATCTATTGTTTGATTTTGTCTGTAGAACAGTTTTGGGGCAGTTCCAGATTATAAATACAAACAAAATGAGATAAAATGAAATGCAATATATCAAATTATCAGAACACGCTCACAAGATTAATGAAAGATAGTTTGGTCTAGTTTAAAAATAGTTTGCTAAAAAACGAATTTCTGCAGATGTTTATTATTGCCTTCAAAAAGTACAGTATATAACAAGGGGGGGCAGGTGTGACTTTGAGGCCCAAAACTGAGATGTCATGGGGTTAGCATAAAAACATGGAGTCAATATATATATATCCATTATTTTAGACTATTTAATGCATATATTACAGAGTAATTCACAATGTTACTCACAGTACACATGATAAAGAGTAGACCCTGGATGCCTTTTAAAAATTATCATTGGATGACATCCCAATTCTTTTAGTAGTAATTTATGCCCCAAATGGGGACCAAAAAGAGTTTTTTAAACACCTATATGGAAAAATGGTTGAATTGCAACAAAAAAACATCCTTATTATAGGGGACTTCAATTCTATTGTTGAATATCAAAAAGACCACAGCAACGGCGGGAAAAATAAAAAGGGGAAAAGAGAGCTCCCTAAGATTTGCAGGGAAATGATGAAAGAGTTAAATTTGACAGATATATGGAGAAGACTACATCTTGAGGAAAAACAGTTTACATTCTATTCAAAACCCCACCAAACATGGACACGGATAGATATGGCATGGATGAATGGGGAAATAGCAAACGAAATAAAAGAAGTGGAAATTTTGCCCAATGAATGGGCAGACCATAACCCAATACAGATAATATGGAAGGGTAGGGCAAAACCAAAGAAAAGGTGGACATTAAACACTCAATTAATAAAAGAGAAAGAATACATCAATAAATTAAAGGAGGAATTAATTTTTTTTATAAAAGAAAACGATAATGGAGAAACTACAAAACAAAATATATGGGATACAATGAAGGCGGTAATAAGAGGTATAACAATCTCTTATAATGCCAAGAGAAATAAAGAAAAATATTCCCAGCAAAATAATCTACAACAAAGAATTAAGGAGCTAGAAACTCAACTACAGAATACTCCAAAAGATACAAAATTGCAAAATCAGATAAATATAGCTAAACATAAATTGAATTTAATCGAACAAGAGAAAATGATTACAAATTTGAATTTGACCAGACAAACCTATTTTGAACATGCCAATAAGCCAGGAAGATGGCTATCTTATAAATTAAAAAGAAAGAAAGAAAAGAGAATGATATACCAGTTAATAGATAGCAAGGGAGATATATACCAGGAAATAGAACAGAAAAAAGAAATCATTCATAAATACTTTGAAGATTTATACAAAAAAGAAGAGGTTAGTGAAGATAGAATAAGGAATTATTTAGATGAAGTTAAAGATAAGGTAATTGGGGAAGAAATGGCAGAACTATTAAATAAAGACATTACTGAATCGGAATTGAAATCAGCAATAGATAACCAGAAAAATAACAAAACTCCAGGCCCAGATGGAATCCCAGGGGAGCTCTATAAGGGTATAGTAGAACAAATTGGACCATTTATGTTGGAAGTTTTTAATGATGTTTTACTAGCAGCCAGGATGCCGGACTCATGGAGGGGGGCGTTGATTTCATTGATCTTGAAGGAGGATACAGATCCTAGATATATAAACAATTATAGGCCGATTTCACTTCTAAATACTGATTATAAAATATTTACTTCTATTATAGCAAACAGATTAAAAAGACTGCTAAACTTGTATATACATGAAGATCAAAACGGATTCCTCCCAGCTAGGCAAATAAAGAATAATCTAAGAATAGTATTAGATGTACTAGAATTTTATGAAGCCCACCCTGAGAGACAAGTAGCACTCATGTTTTTAGATGCAGAGAAAGCTTTTGATAATCTGAATTGGCAATTTTTAATTCAAAAAATTTATAATTTGAATCTGGGTACCAAATTTGAAAATATTATAACAACTATCTATGACACACAACAAGCTAATATAATAATAAACGGGGAACACACCCGCCCAATAAAGATAGAAAAAGGAGTGAGACAGGGCTGCCCACTATCCCCACTGCTCTTCATATTATCATTAGAAACATTATTAACGCGAATTAGGCAAAATTCAGATATAAAGGGATTAACGGTTAAGAAAGAGGAATTTAAATTGCAAGCATTTGCGGACAATATGATCTTCTTTATTGAAGAACCAATAGAAAGGGGACTAAAATTGATGAAAGAACTGGAGAATTTTGGAGCAGTAGCAGGACTTAAAATAAATAAGAAAAAAACTAAATTAATGACCAAAAATTTAACAGAAAAACAGAAAATAGAATTAGAAGGAACAATGGAAATACAAGTGACAAAGAAAGTGAAATATCTAGGAATTTGGTTAACACCACACTGTAAGTCACTTAAAGAAAATAATTATGACAAATTGTTACATCAGGTAAAGAAAGATTTAGAATCATGGAGTAAACTTCAAATTTCACTATTAGGCCGGATTGCCACCATTAAAATGAACATTCTCCCCAAATTTCTATATTTATTCCAAACGATTCCAATTAAATTACACAAAAAGTTCTTCGAAGAACTCAACAAAACAACCCTCCAATTTATTTGGCAAGGGAAAAAACCCAGAATAAATGTTAAAGCAATGCAAGATACAAAGAGCAGAGGAGGGTTAGCAGTCCCAAACTGGGAGCTATATTATATGGCCACCTCATTAGTTTGGTTGAAGGACTGGGTGAAGTTAACTAATAAAAGAATATTATTTCTAGAAGGCCACGACTTACAAAGGGGGTGGCACGCATTTTTATGGGATATAGGGAAAACCAGTCAAAAATATTTTCATAGACATTTAATTAGAGACGCGCTACTAACAATTTGGAAGAAAATTCGGAAAAAACATTACATAAAAATACCAATATGGATTTCAATAATGGAGGCGATGATTTACCCAAACAATTTGGAAATTACTAAAATGATTAAATATAAAGACTTATTGGACTCACAAGGAAATTTGAAATCGAGGCAGGAAATTCAGGACCAGGGACTAAAAATTGATCAATGGGTTTATCTTCAGATTCAAAGTAGGTACAAACAAGATAAGAAAGAATTTGGAATTAACAACAAACTTCAACAATTAGATAAGATTTTATTAGGACCGGACAAAAAAAGCATAACAAAATTTTACAATTATTTACTAGAAACAGAATTAGAAGAAGAAATTGTAAAAGGGAATATGATTGCGTGGAGTCGGAATGTAGGACGTAGTATTACACTAGCAGAATGGGAAAAAGTTTGGGGCAGGAATAATAAGATCACAAAATCGGTAGCATACAAGGAAAATCTTTATAAAATGTTTTATAGATGGCATCTCCCTCCTTCGAGGCTAGCGAAGATGCACCCCAACATGAGTCCGTATTGTTGGAAATGTAAGAAAAAAGAAGGAACCTTTTTCCATATGTGGTGGACATGCACAGAAACCCAAAATTATTGGAAGAAAATCCAAACTTTTTTGGAAGAAATTACAAAAGAGCAGATCGAGTATAAACCAGAGTCCTTCCTACTAGGGATCTTTGACAAACAAATTTCCAAAAAAGCTAAATATATAACAATACATATATTAACTGCGGCCAGATTAGCCTTTGCACAATACTGGAAACAACATCAAATTCCATCAGATGAAATGATTATTGATAAAATTTCAAAATGCGCAGAAATGGACAACTGACTCTGGCACTAAAAAACAAAGATACTTCACAATATTATGATAGTTGGAATTGTTGGTATAATTGGATTAATCATAGATAAATTATATATCATAAGGCATAAGAGGAAAGTTTTAACTGATAATAATGAGATAGTGATATATGTATAGAATAGGTGTATATATGACATAAATCAAAGGCTATAAAAAAAAAAGATCTTGCAAACTGTAAAATAAATAAGAATGTTTTTAATTTTCCTTTTTTCTTTTTCTTTCTTTTTCCTTTCTTTTCAATCTTTCCTTTTCTTTCTTTTCTACTTTCTTTTTTCTTCTTCTTTCATTTATTTGTATATGTATTGTTCGCTGTTTTTAACTGTTAAAACTAATAAAAAATTTTTTTAAAAAATTATCATTGGTAAGTAGCCAATTTATGGTGTGCTTTATGTTACAATTCCTCTTATCACTGCTGATGAGGGAAACAAATGTTTTTCCCCACAGAATAAATCATTCAAACCTGCGGTTTGTGATACCAGTTAACTCAGAAAGATTATTTCCATTTCAGGAGCAATCATAGTCCTTATCTCCTATTCTGCTACACACATACATCACCTATCTGACTTTACAATCCGCCTAGCACACAGAGGTTGGGGCAATTGGTCAATGCAATTTTGCAGAAGGAGAAGACACACCCTAAAAAGTGGATGGGGGAGTAGATGACAGAGATTCTGAACTCATTTCACATAAGGCCATTTTTAATTTGCATTTGGTAGAATATTGTTTTTTCTATCTCATAGCCACTTACCGAGGTCATTTTGAAACTGGTCCATCAGCTCATCAAAGACTAGACAGTCTTCAAATCCCTGGGGGGAGAAATGCAAGGAAAGTAAGAACCTAATTTTAAGTAGTAAATTCTAATTCTGTGGGTATTATATTGGGGGAAACATAGAAATGTGTGACCTAGTAAGTGCCAAATTACTTTTACAATTTTCAAATGATAAAGTTGTCACACAAGCCAGGTACCACTTCCTGAAACCTTGGTGCTTTGTTCTTTCTGGCCAGTTAGAACAATCAAATGTTCAATTACAAATATTTAACTCAAAATTAAGAAAACAGAAGTGATTATCTCAACTTTAACAAATGAGCTAGATCAAGGATCTTCAAACTTGGCAAGTTTAAGACTTGGGGACTTCAACTCCCAAAATTCTTGAGCTAACATGACTGGGGGAGGAATTCTGGGAGTTGAAGTCCACAAGTAATAAAGCTGTCAAGTTTGAAGACCCCTGAGCTAGAGGCTGATACAGAACTTATAGTTCCTCCTACTCCAAATACATCGTGTTCTTTTCCAACATTTCCCTCTTTATAGTGAAGATCTTGCCTTCCTGTTCTCATGTTCACCTGTTAATAGATGTGGCATGTTTACATTCTCTGCATTCCTGCTCCGAGTTTCTCTTGCCCTAAGAAAATCCTGACACCATCTTACAATCCTTTGCCCTATTGCTTGGCAGCTTTGTCTTTACTCTGATCCGCTGTTTCCTTGTGTGAGGAAATGCAGAGGAAATAGGGCACTACTCTTTTTTTAATTGGCCAGCTCTACTCCTTCAGATCAGCAATGAGGACAATTCTGCAATTCTCTGAAACTGCTGCAGGGGGTGGAAGCTGATAACTGCAAAGAAGCACTCTTTATTGAGAAACACAAAAACACCAAAGATTTCAGTTGCAAAGGTTCTTTGACTTACAGCATTCATGCCTTGGCCATAAAAGGGTACAACAGCATGTGCAGCATCTCCCATTAGCACACATTGAGAGCCAGTGTGATACGATGAGCATTTCACAGAGATCATTGCCTGAGCTGGTAGCACAAAGTAATCTTGCATCAGTTCGTGCCTGAAATTTCAAAGTGCTGTATCACTGATTAAATGCTAAGTAAACATTTATTTGATAACTGATTGGAATATGGATATTTTGAAAGCTGCAAGGAGAATGGGAAGTGGGGTTTTGGCATAACTATTTCTTAGATACCCAACAAGCAGCAATGTATAAGTTCAGAACTTCAAAAAAAAATAAAGATCACAAATATATACATACATGCATACACACATTTCAAATGAAAAAAATTATAGACAGATGTATGACTGAGCTCCTAAGGATTTTCTGCATTGTCTTAAAGACTTAAACTATTCTTATGGTGGATCTGCATTATGATATAACATTGAAAAAACATCACTAAAGAAATGATTAAGTACTAATATAAAGCAAAGATTCAACAAGATATGCAAGTTGGGGTTGAAGGACAGTTGGACTTGGTAGGTGGTTGTTTTGATCTTTACTTGCTATTTAAATATTTAAACAGAGTTTATTTTGCTGAGTTAAACTTTTATAAACCATCTTGGATTGCAGGACAATTTACAGAAAACCCATCTCAAAATCTTTTTTTTAGAGTGAAGACCAAAGTAAAAAGTGGAAATTAATGCACAATGGTAAGCACTGCATAAAGAACAGAATCAGTGACTTTAATGTCTAACATAATCTCTGCTAGAGCTTGCTCTGTCATGTGCGACTGCTGTTTAGATGCTTTTATGCTTAGATTAGGGCTTGTTTTGCTTTATTTTGATTTGATTTGATTTGATTTATAGTAGACAAATTGAAACTTACTCTCCTATTAGAGGAACTGAGTCTGGAAAATAAGTTTTGAAGAAATTCAGCACTTGCTCTCCTGTGGCAAGCTTTTCAAAATCATCAAAGGGCATGAAAAGTGTACAGGTGAATGATTTATCCTATGGATTAAAATGGTTAAATTACATTAAAACTTGAAAATAATTTTGATTTAGTAGCAATCCTAAAATCAAACTTACAAAGTAAAGAGAATATAATATAAACTACACACACACACACACACACACACACACACACACAAATATATTCATTTTTTGTAACTTTGCTTATTTGAACATAAACACACATACATGTATACATATATTTATATATATTTAAATTCTCACTTTTCTATGCTATTTCATGAGATTTTCAGTAAAAAGATGACCCCACTCTTTTCAGAGGTTCTGAGAGATAGGGCTGTCAAATTCCCAGCCCATGGGCCAGATGTATGACCATTTATTTATTTATTATTTATTTATTTGATTTGTCAATCACTTACAAGATACAGATATAAGTATAAACATGGCTATAAATACATGAAATGGATACATATAAGAAAAAAGAAAGAAAGAAACAATAGAACAGGGACGGTAGGCACATTGGTGCGCTTATGCACGCCCCACTACAGACCTCTTAGGAGAGGGGTGAGGTCAATAGTAGACAGTCTAAGTTTAAAGTTTTTGGGATTTGGGGAAGAAACCACGGAGTCAGGTAGAGTATTCCAACATTGACCACTCTGTTGCTGAAGTCATATTTTCTGCAATCAAGTTTGGTGCGGTTAACCTTGAGTTCGTATCCATTGTCCATGCGCAGTTTAGTGAAGGGGGCGGGGGGGGGGAAGTCTCAATATGTCATGTGATGCTGTCATGATGATGTGACTTTGATACCCCTGATTTAGGAGCTTCCCCCATTGCTTGATTGAAATGCCACCCACCTTCTTGAAAAGGCAGAAAACTTTATATCTCCTTTGCCAAACTCTTATATTTTATTGGCTCTGTTCATTGCTAGTCATCTAACTTTTCTGGCTGACAAAATCTACAGTTTCCTTTACATTGAGGATGTTTCTGGGTGATGTCAAAATAAATGCTGCTTTGGGCTACTGTAACACCAGTATAGTTAAGGATGACTTGAGCCTGCTTTCCTGATGGCTTAGCAATGAGATGAAGGTAATATCTTGGGGACATAGGAAAATGCCAGGGCATGTTAGTACTATGATTAGATGCAAGTGGGGAGATATCCACAAATTTTTATCTGTCATCTTGGTGAACTTTCAGGTAATTAAGATGGATGAGATGTTAATCACATTTCAAGGATTTAGAGTCTATTGGTTTGGAAATGGAACGGGCATTCAAACATGAAATATTTATTTATTGCTTGCTCATGTTTGGACAGCAACCATCAGCAAATGGGTGTATGTGAAGTAAAAGAAAATGACATTTTAAAATACCAACTCCAAAACTGTCTGTTAGAAACTAGGAGTGTACAAAATATTGATACCATCTGAGCTACAGACAGAGAGAAAGGATGAACTACTAGGTGAATGTACTGTAATCTTCAACTCTTTGAAGAAAAACAAGTTGAGCAATGAAATAACCCTTTAATCCTATCAGTTGAAAATAAAGCCAGAAAAAATAAGGATGAACAAATAGAGGTCTGATCTTTTCTAACCTCTGAACCACACACGTTCTACCTTGAATTACTGAAGGGTGACTTATGTTTGTTTGTTTGATTTTTCAGGCAGCCCTCTAGTAATATACTGCATAATACAGCAGAACAACATCTAAAGTTGGGAAAGAAAATAGATCCTTAGAACAGCTTTATCACTGAATCATGCCTGTCCAACCAGGATGGAATGGCAAAAAGGTGTTTTTTTCCCCCAGTCTATTTTAAGAAATGAAATAGCAACGTTGGTTTTGGCTGTTATGAGATAGGTTTTGCAATTACTGCATTTTTATCTGACAAGAGACAGGAAGAAGGGGACACAATAGGTAGTAACAGCTGATATTTAACTCCACCTGTTACACTGTTCCCTCACTACAAAAAATGACCATTCGAACCTTGTCCTTTTCTAGAATATGCTATACTGTAATACAGAGAAAATAGAAGCTTCTGAACTCTTGTATACTAACCAAGCTTTTAAAACAGCAATTCTGATGACTGAAGTTAGTTTCACATCTTAGTATAGCATGCAAGTGATGCTTCTTCTCCTCCACTTTGTGACTCCTCCTAAAATCACCCTTCAGGCTGTAATGAACTAAGCTGGCAATGCTTTCATACAAGAGAGGACAATTATGAATAAGTGAATCCACTTGGAGGAGTCAGAAATTACCCGCCAGTACCTGGCAGTAGCAATAAGAAAGGATATATGAATGGGAATGAGTGTAGGAATGGAATTCGCAGCAGAAAAAACTTAGACATGCAGTTCCAGGCATGCAATCTATAATACTGTATGCTTCCAGTAGCCAACATTGACTGAAACTGATTGTCCAGACCAAATCCAGATTCTAGAATGTCAAAGATGAAAGATACATTTAGAGTCTCTTACCAGGTTTGGCAGTGCAATCATCATGAATGTGTTCCTAGGCCAAATGTGAAGATAGTTTGGCTCCATGGCAAACTGAAAGACCCAAAAAAAAGGTAATGGAAAGATATCCGTCAATGCCAGTGTATCTTATGAATTGGGAACAGCAGAAACAAGTTCATTGTGAATTATAACTACCTACATCACCATTTTTTGGAGGAATTTTCAGTTCCAGATATCCATGTGGAATATACACTTGACTGTAATCAAACCGTGTTTGTCTCATAAACTGCTTCCTAACTGTGGAAAAGGCTCCATCACAGCCCACAATTAAGTCACAGGTGATCTCTTTAGTCATTTGGTCTGGTCTTTAAGAAAACACAAAAAGTACCATTAGTATGTGTGCTCAGGCATAAATAAATATTGTGGAATATTGTGTGATGATTGAACACGACTTCTCTTTGCTTAGATCTCTCTTGTAGCACCAAGTTTAAAGAATGTACTTTTTTTTCTGCTTGACTCCTTCACATTTGGGTTAAAAAAAGTAAGTGGAGTTATTTTTGAAATAAGAATTTTGACATCCAATAGATCCTGGCTTTTAAAATTTTATATATTTTAATGTAACAAATGACACTACATGTCATTAGATATTATTGACAATAAAATCTGGGTTTTAAAAATCAAGTATAGATTTGTGAGTCCTATACTGCAATATTATTCATAATAGTTTTTGTGTGAGATGATCTTTTCAAACGCCCATTCAATATGTTTCCATACATGTCATCTTATATTTTTATTATGAGGAGAAGAAGAGGATGAAGAGGAGACTAAGCAAATGCATTAAATAGGCGCTTCACATTAGACTTTATATGTTGAAAAAACTCATAATCTCCTAAAAATATAAATCATTTCTCAGTAATAAATATACCCTGAATTCAGCAGAAGTCCTTCCATCCAAGAGATTATATTGCCAAGAGTTTATGAAGTACAGTCTTATGGTTGTTGTTTGTGTTAAATTGTTAATCTTTGCTAACATGGGGGTGGGGAACCTAATGATTTTTCAGTTCAAATACAGGCCCCCACAAGAGTTGGAAAGAGTCACTGTGGCCTATTGTTTGGGTACTGGTTAATGATTAGAGTATGCTGGGAAAATCAGAGTGATTTGATTACCCTGAAAAGGTCAGTAGCCCTGAGTCTACATTGCAGTGAAGCAGTTTGTGCTCAAAGTATAATTTAACATTGGGATACTTCTCAGCAGCTGTAAATAGAGGAAAAAAGAAACAACATGAAATCTAAACATTTAGATATATTTTTTCTTAGAGGTAGAACAAGTGTTTGCAAGAAAACAGTTCTGAAATAATTGATTTTATAAAACGTAGCACATTTTCTAATCATGTCCCTTTTTCCTCACCCAGTCCATTCACTAAGATCCCTGTAGTTAGATCTGGGTAATTTGACCTGACTTTTGGCACTTGGTGTGATGTATATGCATCCACTTCCTAACGTTCCGCCTTCATCTTCTCAATAACTCTATTTTGCACCATAAAGACCAATCATATGGTGAAAAACAAGTCTGGCCCACTCCAACATACTCATTACTTGTTCACTGTAAGCAGCCAGGACTCTCGCAGCTCTAAGCAACTTTCTATTTTCCCTGGGGAAAGTGCTGTTCTCCTATTCTTGAATGGAGGATGGGTTGTAAACTCTACCAATACAACTTTTGCTATGCCCATTATTGCTTTTCTGCAGTCTCTTTTTTTGGCTTGCCCCCAAATGTTTGTGTTCTAAATTCCAGCATGCTGGGCATTTAAAGCAAAATGAGTGGATAAACTCTCTGTCTTGTAGTTACTGAGATGTTCAGCTTGCCTGAGCTTGTGGAGGTGTGTAACTTTGAAAGACTATTGAAACCTAAAAACCTGGCAGTCAGTTGACAACCAGCAGAGGGCTAATGGGTTTTAAGAATTGGTGTCTTCAGAGGACTTTATTGAGGTGCTGATTTTGAGTTGCCTTTCTCTTTCTACGCAGCATACATATACTGTACTGCTTGTAGTCTTTGCTCATGTAAAAGCAGAAGATAACACTCATTTTAAACAGTAAATAGCCATTCCTCTTTCTTATATGTTGATTCTATCTGAGTAATGATTTCACCTCGAACACAACATAATTTTATATGTGATAAATTGAGAAAGGATCAAAACAGATTAAGCCACACTTACCAGTCAATAACTCCTTATTCAAATTTGCTCTGTCTATCGAGAGAATATACTATTAAAAAAACAAAAACAAAGATAAATAATATATTATAAGGCATAAAAGAAAAGTATCAATACATAATAACAAGGTAACGATATAAGTTAAAAACAGGTGTGGTTATATGACACAAGTTAAGGTGATGAAAACAAAAGAAGATCTTGCAAACTGTTAAAATAAGAATACTTTTAATCCTGTAACCTCTTTCTTTCTTTCTTTTTTTAAAATTCTTTCCCTCTCTTCCTCTTCTCTCTTCTCTCTTTTCTTTCTTTCTTTCTTTTGCTTATTTGTGTATGTATTGTGACTGGTTTTAATTGTAAAAATTAATAAACTATATTTTTTTAAAAAAAAAACAAAATAAGGTAGAGAACATTTTATATGTTTAACTATATTTGAATATAGCCTTGTACAATACACTTTTTTCCTAAGATTTAGCAATATAAATCTTAGATTCTTTTCATGACCAGACACCGTGGTTACTAAAAGTCTATCCCAAAAAATTATCTCTTGATCTGCTGGAGGACCCCATATTTTCAAGAACTTTGAGAACAGCGCTGATGGGAATATGTTTTCCAGAGTCAATCTTGTCTGTAAGATAGAAAGGGTAAGGGAAGTCACAACACGGACCATAGCGAATGAGACTGTGAAAAGGTAAAGGAAGCCAAAAATTAGAAGAAGCATCTCCAAATACCATACATAGACGAAGGCAATAGAAGAACTCTTCTGTATTTTTACCAAGAGAACCATATGCATATGGCTGAAAGTTCAGTTAAATTTAGACACCAGCTGGTGAAACATTATCACCTCTAGATCAGAAGGCACTGTTTTAGATACTGTAGAGGAATATTGAATATTCACTGATAAATTTGGAAGTGATACGCTCGCAAGCATATCTAGTGGTGTCACAGTGGTTAGAATGCAGTACTGGAGGGCTAACTCACTGCTTACTCTAGGAGTTCAATTCTGATCAGCTTAAGGTTAACTCAGCCTTCCATCCTTCCGAGGTGGGTAAAATGAGGAGCCAGATTGTTGGGGGCAGTATGCTGACTATATAAACTGCTTAGAGAGAGCTGTAAAGCACTGTGAAGCAGTATATAAGTCTAAGTGCTATTGCTAATCAGTGTTGGTATCACTGCTGAAACAATTGCAAAACAGAATGTGACCAAAGAAAACCAAAGAAATCATCAAAGCAGACATGAAGCACACAACATTTGATGCCTTGGGATTTTAGATGGACTGGATCCGGCCACTTCAAATCAGATGATTACATTATACTCTTCTGGATATAAAATCATATTAAAGATCAGAATAGCAATGATGCTCCAAAGGGGCAGTTCTATATATTAGGGGTCTCCAATCCCCAGGCTGTGGTCCATTACCAGGCCTTGGGCCTTTCGGAACCAGGCTGTGGAAGTGGTGGGTGTGTGCATGTGTGTGTGCATCTGCACTTGTGGAAGCAGTGGGCAAGCGTGTGCATGTGCACTCCATTTGCAGGAGTGGTGAGCATGTGTGTGCCTGCCATTCATGGAAATGGAGTTGCGCTCACCTGGAAGCATCCCCTCTTCCCCTCCCCACTCCACTAGTCCACAAAGCAGGAAAGGTTGGGCAACTCTGCTATATATGCTTAGTTAACCGAAGGCAGGACAGAAATGATATCTATTAGAATTAGAATCATTATAATAGATATCTATTAGAAAATATCACATACTGAAATTATAAACAGTTACAGAAGCAGAGGAAGTTAAAATAGCTAATAAGAAGTATAGAGACTGAAAAATGGTGGAATCAAAATAGCAATCCAAACAGTGGTGGAATTCAAATTTTTTACTACTGGTTCTGTGGGCGTGGCTTATTTGGTGGGTGTGGCTTAGTGGTCATGTGACTGGGTAGACGTGCTTGGTGGTCATGTGACTGGGTGGGTGTGGCCAACTCAATGTCACTCACATCAAGGGGTGCCTCACCTGGCCCCTCCCAGCCATTCCTTGTCACCCAGCTTCAACTTATCTATAGTTCTGTAAAAATGTTGTTCACCTTTTTTGACTTTATTATCTGCATATTATAGATGTACTTTCATGGACCACTGAAAAGAGAAAATGGCTCACATGTTTTACTCAAGAGTGTGATATAGGCAACAGGCTTTTAAGGGGCTGCCACAAAGAAAGGGGGGGAAGGTATTTTCCAAAGCACCAGGAGGCAAACAAGAAGCAATGGAGGGAAACTGAACAAAGAGAGAAGCAACCTAAAACTAAGGAGAAACTTTCTGACAGTGAGAACAATTAACCAGTGGAACTGCCTGTCTCTAGAAGTTCTGGGTGCTCAATCACTGGAAGTTTTTAAGAAAAGACTGGACAGCCATTTCTCTGAAATGGTATAGGGTTCCCCCCAAAGTCCCTTCTAAGTGTTATTCTGACACCTTTTTCCAGGACCTCTACTCAGAGTTTGGCATCCTCAGTTTTCCTGCCTGAGCTGGTGGTTGGACTAGAAGACCTCCAAGGTCCCTTTCAACTCTGTTAAACACACATGTATTTATGCTCTGGACTATAGACAATGAATGCAAGTAAACCCTGAAAAATATGTGGTAGCCCTTGGCAAAAGAAAAGCGGTAGAATCACTCTAGGTGTAGGGACAGTGTAAAATATTAACACATGATAAATAATGGAACAATTAAAAATAATAGCACAGAGTTTTCTCTGTCTCTCTCTCTCCCTTCCTATTTCTTTTTCTTTTTTGCTTCTCTCTTTCTTTGTCTCTTTCTGTCTTTCTCTCCCTTGCTTTCTTTTTTTCCTCTCTCTCATACACACCACTCTCTCTCCCTGTTTCTTTTTCTTTCTTTCTTTCTTTCTTTCTTTCTTTCTTTCTTTCTTTCTTTCTTTCTTTCTTTCTTTCTTTCTTTCTTCTTTCTTTCTTTCTTTCTTTTTTTCTTTCTTTTCTTTTCTTTCTTTCTTTCTTCTCTCTCTCTCTCTCTCTCACACACACACACACACACACACGCACACCTGTCAGCCTTCATTCCCTCTCACTCCAGGCACTTTACTCACAAGGGGAAGTGAATCCAGCATTAGAGAAGTTCTGCAGGTAAACGGACTTGCATTTGAAGCTCCTGCAAACTTCCCCATGGCTGGATTTCTCCCTCCTCCCCCAGAATTCTTTCCCCCTCCTCCAGGCCCTTTACTCACAAGGGGAAGTGATACTTCTAGTGTCCATGAAGAATCCAGCCTTGGAACAGTTTTGCATGTTAACGGACCACTGTTTCGCCCACAGTCATGTGTTTTCAAGTGGCTGCTTGAAAATGCATGGCTAGGGCGGGGGAGCAGTCCTCCTTTAAACTGGGGCAGCGAGCATCGGGTGGGCAGGGCAAGCGAGTGAGGGGAAACTGGGTGACCGGGTTGGGGGAGTGGCCAGCTAGATGTTACTACCGGTTTGGCGACCCACTCCAAATTCTTGCTACCGGTTCGCCCGAGTAGGTGCAAACCAGCTGAATAGCACCTCTGAGTCCAAAAGACAATTTAAGTGGTAGGGCAGCCAATATCAATCTGTTTGCTGAAAGTAGAGAAGAATTGGAAGAGCCCATTTTGAAGGCTACCAAATCAAGGCTGCAATATTTTAGAATTAATGTTGAATTTCTAGTAGAGCTTACCTGAAATTACCGTCCAGTATAAATTATACTGGAAATACAACTTCAGCAACAGAGGGGTCAATGTCTGGAATACTCTGCCTGACTCTGTGGTTTCTTCCCCAAACCCCAAAAACTTTAATCTTAGACTGTCTACTATTGACCTCACCCCTTTCCTAAGAGGTCTGTAGGGGGCGTGCATAAGCGCACCAACGTGCCTACCGTCCCTGTCCTATTGTTTCTTTTTATTTTATTTTTATTTTTCTTATATGTATCCATGTATTCATAACTATGGTTTTTACTTATACCTATTATCTTGTAAGCGATTGACAAAAATAAATAAATAAATAAAATATTTGCATGAATTGCATTGAATATGGGCCTCCTCTATGGAGACAACATTTTGATTTTCATTTCTAATACAGTAACACTTACTAATCAATGCCTGTATAGTCACCTTATGATTTAAAAAAAGCTTATTTGACTATATATAAGTCTCTTCCCCTAATTTCACTCCATTCTTCCAATATGCTGTCATATTTTAGAAGAAGGGCGAGAGAGAACGAGAGTACATATATAACAGCAGGGACGGTTGTAATAGGCTAGATCAGGATAACTAGTCCACAGGTATCTTTCTATCCCCTTCTAGACAAAACAATATAGCAAAAAGGAAAATTACTGTGTGCCATGCACTCCTGTCGATCCCAGCTTTCACTGAGAGCAATGCTAAAGAGCGACACAATATTGGAACAGGCCATTTGTGTCCTCATACTTCCAGAAAATAGACAATAGTGCCCCTGTTCATAATAGCAGCCAACTTATCATTAGCCACATCATGCACAAGTATGCAAAAATAAAACACAAAAGTTAAATGCTTTAGTTTTAACATGTTTTGACTGTTTTAACATACCTGGCTCTTTATTCCATAAAAAATTGTATATCTTTTCCCTGAGTGAGTATGAATTCTCCTTCCCTTCATGGGGATGCCTTTAGACACAATCTGAAATTTTTTAAAAAAATTGAAATTGTTTTAATGCTGCATGCAATTTTTGAATATGCAAAAGGCTTTTTACATTTTGGGGGGGGATGGGGGGAATATGACCAGACAAAGTAAGTTTAAATCAGCGGACTCTGAATATTGTTTGTTGTAACTGCAGTGGGTTGCTTTTTAGAATCTTGAAATGTTACGGCAGCCCGTAACATAAAAGAAAAGCAAACATGGCTCCTTATCAGAAGCTGCATCATACTCTCAAGCCCAAGTGTGCCCGCTTGCCTAAGAAGCAGAGAAGATGGGGTCAGCCTATTCTCCAACGCATCTGAGGGCAGGGCAAGAAGTGATGGGTGAAAGGTCAGTAAAGAGAGATCCAGTCTAGAACCAAGGACAAATTTCCTGACAGTGAAAACAATTAATCAGTAGAATGACTTGCCTTCAGAAGTTGTGGGTGTTCCATCCTGCAGGTTTTCAAGAGTAAACTAGATAGCCATTTGTACGGAATGTAATAGGATCTCCTGCTTGAGCTGTGAGTTGGAATAAGAGACTTCCAAGGTTTCTTCCAACCCTATTATTTTATGTTCTATATGTTCTAACCATGGTTACTTGCAACCTATCTTCCTATCCTACTTATTATTTATCATCCATCCAGAGTTGTTGGACACGAGATGGGCAGCAAATAAATTTCATAATTAATTAATAATCTATCTATCTAAAGATTAACAATTCAAGACTGCCCGCAAAATGATCATTGGCCATATTCTATCCCTTTTAATTCTCTGTTGCATATTGTATACATTTGCAGTTTTCTCCTGCCTGATAATTAAAGCACCCAAAAGGGAGATAGAATTCCTCTTAAATTCATCTGTTCTCATATAGACAAAATTTAATACTTTCTCCCAGCATTTCAGTTCTTCCTTCCATTTATTCCATATATTATTATTTTTTTGCAACTGCCACGGCTCATGGAGCATTGGGCTGTAAAGGATGCTGAGAATTCTCTGCTTCCCTGGAGTGGATGTTGCCAAGCACCTTCCCTATCAACACAGGTGCCTCTTCAAGCAAGATACTATAGGAGCTTTCCACACAGGTCATGTCATCCTGGAACATCTCAGAAAGTTTCAAGTAACCCAAGACTGGAAGTCCCCAAGGCAAAATAGATGTATAATGATTTTGGGAGTTCACAAATATTTACCACCTATCCTGCCTTTTCATGCCTTGCTCCTCCCATCTCTGTAGAGTTGTAATTGCAGGAATGTTCTTATCTTGGATGGCAAACCTCAGGTAAAGAATGTTTACAAAGCAAATACAACTCAGGCAAACAAAGTCACTAATGTAAAGGAGGATTAGAGAGAGGAAGTAAACATATGTTGGACTTTGACTAGAGACAATTAATTGTGTTAGTTACTATGCTGAACAGTAACGAAAGTTAAGCAGAAACCAAAGTTAACCAATGTTGGAGGATTACTAAAAATGTGTATAAATGCAAGACTAGACTCCAATAAAGTTCATCATGATTCAGTTGATCATGATCAAGCAACTCGACTGCCTCATCATTACAACACATCTCTGAACTACTCTAAGAGCCTTTTCTAGTGATCCTGAAGTGCAGTGGAATTTCCATTGCCTAAAGGCAATGTTTGTATCAGTCCTCCTTCTATACCACTCTACCTCTGTGAAGTCCTTTATGGTTGAGGCCAATATCCCCAACGTGACCATTGTAGCAGTCTTCCTGAATCCCACAACAAAAAACTACCAGCCTTGCCTATTACGTTCTATGGAAGTTCCCAAGCCAGTCCGCACTTTGAGTGGGAGTCATAGTTCAGTCCTATTGGTTGAGCCATCTGACAGCGAACTATAAAAGGGAGCTGTCAGATGGTATCAGCTATTGCCCATCAACTGGCCGTTCAGCTACTTAGCAGCTGCCGCAGGTAACCTGTTCCTTGTTACATTAAACATTGTTGGTTGCGAATCTCTGCCTCAGCTCCTTCTTTAAAAGACTACAAAATTGCCCTATAGCTTTCATTCAAAGAAGCTGATCCTGGCTGAAGTTAACTATATCATCTGAGAGAAAGAACTGCTTGCTATCAAATATGCCTTTACTTTGTCCAGTCTGTCATCGGGTTACCAGTTTTCCTCTGTCATCAGGCTAACTATATCTTGTTCAAAACTATTGGCCTCTTTCAAGCTATTGGTGTCCTTAGAACCTTGGAAGACCTCTTCTGTAGACTTTATTACCAACTTCCCACATTCCCAAGGATTTGCCATCATACTGATGGTGATGGAGCATTTTTCTAAAACAGGGCACTTCATCCCTTCCAAGGATCCCAACTACAATCTGTTTCTCTATCATGTTTTCCAGATGTATAGCTTGCCTACTTGTATGGGCAAGGAATCACCTCACAAGAATTGGAAACAATATTTTTGGAAAGCAACGGTCTCATCTTATCAAAAGAGCTTTAAATTAAAATTGAGGGGGACCTCAATTTTATCTCCATGACCTTCAGAACCTAATTCCAAGCAAAAAACACTAGATAACCAATCTCGTAAGGAGGAAGAGAGTAAAGAGAAACAAGAAATAAAAAAAGAAAAACAAAATGAAGTAGAGAGTGATGGATAGGATGGAAATCCCAGTTACAAAGTAGGAGATATAAGAAACATACCCAAGACCCATAAAAGACAAACAGGGTGAACATGAAGTTTTGGTACATGAAGGCAGATATGATATAGTTGCCATTAATGAAACCTGGTGGGATGAAACTCAGGAGTAGAATGTACTGATGGAAGAATACAAACTATTCAAAAGAAACAAATGTAACAAAAGAGGAGGTGGAGTTGCATTATATATAAAAGATCATTACATCTCTACAGAAATACACAAAACCAAAGATGAAAACCTCCTAGAATTCCTATGGGTCAATATAAAAAGAAAAAAAATGACATTATTATAGGCATATATTACAGGCCAAGCAGAAGAAATAGATGAACATTTTTCTAATAAATTAACAAATGTATGTAGGAGATATACCACAGTAGTAATGGGAGATTTTAACTACCCTGATATCAACTGGGAAACAAATTCTGCAGCAAATGGGAGATCGAACAGATTCCCATCTTCAGGAAAAAAAAAAAGAGGGGGGAACAGACCCAGGAAACTACAGACCAATCAGCCTTATATCAATAATTAGGAAGATACTGAGGAAAAAAAGAACAGATTTGTGAACATCTAAAAACAATGTTATAATTAGTAGGATTTGTTTAAAACATATCATGCCAAACCAATCTTATTTCATTCTTTGACAAAGTGACTAAATTAGTAGACTAGCAAAATTCTGTGTACCTAGTATACTTAGACTTCATTTGACAAAGTAGACCTCAACCTACTTCTTGGTAAGCTAGAAAAAAGTGGGATAGATAGCACCATCACCAGATGGATTTGTAACTGGCTCACAAACTGTACTCAACTGTACTTAAGTAGTCCTTAATAGTACTACATCTACATGGAGGGAAGTAAGCAGTGGAGTACCACAAGGTCCCATCTTAGCCCCAGTACTCTTCAATATCTTCATAAATGACTTAAATGAGGGAATAGAAGGAGAACTCACAAAATTTGCAGATTACACTAAGATGGCAGGAATAGCCAACACCCCAGAAGACAAGCTCAGGATCGAAAAAGATCTTGACAGACTTGAACAATGGGCTCTCTGCAACAAAATGAAACTTAACGTGGACAGCTAGGCAGGAAAAAACCAAAGGTACAAGCACAGATTAGGCAAAACCTGGCTCAAAAACAGTAACTGTAAGAAGGACCTTGGAGTCCTAGTGGACGATCACTTAAACATGAGTCAGCAATGTGTGGCAGCAGCCAAAAAAGCTAATACAATCCTTGGTTGTATAAGACAGTCACCCGTCTGAAATGGTATAGGGTCTCCTGCTTGAGCAGGAGGCTGGACTAAAAGACCTCCAAGGTCCCTTCCAGCTCTATTCAGATTGAAATCTTGCATTATGTGGTCTATTTCACTGGAAAGTTCTGGAAGACTTTGTTTGGTCTCCTGATCATGGATCTTTACTGGTCCATCACATATCATTATCTGAACATATCCATAACATATTCCATTAAGAATTACTGGTAGCCAAGGAGTAATGTAAACTCATAAAGGATTGTGGTCTTTCAGCAAGCAAGACCAACCCTGAAAAGTCAATGATTTAATCCCTGCAAGGTCAAACACAATAGCTAGCAGCATGGTTTATTGTTCTGTAGAGAGTAAGGAAGATGGCTTTGATGGAGATATGCAAGCTCTGTTGCCAAGGCAAGAAGTGGTAAACTATCTTTTAAGTCCAGAATGTCCTTATAATGTTTGGAAGTGTCTTAGACAAAATTTCCCCAATTTACTGAAATATTTACTTGCAAAATGTGACTTGCAAGATTCTATTATGATAGCCAATCTAAAAACTGTAAAAGTAGTTTTAAGCTACCTATGTATGCTGCACCCACACTATCCCTATAGCTCTATACTCTACCTGGTGACTATTGCAGCTTCTGGAAAATGACACCAACCTTCTTTTTTTCATCATGAGACACTGACAGCTAAAAAGATCAAAGGAGTATTTTTTTTTCTCTGAGATGCGGCTAGAGACTTACGATTTGAATGGGGGTTGGAGTCCTGACAGATATAGCGATAGGGCCATTACAATAAATGACTGGGCTTAATGTATGTATGTATGTATTGTTTGTAGATGTTTACATTATAGTGGATAGAATTCTTAATATTCTGCCCTAGAAATGTTATTAATAAATAAACAAATAGTCCTCCTATAAGCCACCTGCCACAGAGAATGTTAACTCTTTCTCTTTAAGGTTACCTGATCTTCCATTCCAACTGCCTTGAGAGCTTCCCGCCCCCTGTGAGACAAGGCCAAATTAATGCTCCTGCCACGAGTTACACTTGAACTACGGATATCTGAAAAGAAATGAAGCAGACATTTATTGTGTGCCTTGAGATATTATATCTCATATAATGTTCAGAATTCCTTATTCCATATAATATTCATCATTCCTTATAGCTTACTTTCCAAATATTGACTTGTGCTAGGAGAGAACTATAAAAAATTTTCCCATTAAGGATTGCATAAGAATATGAATGGCATGTTTGTTTAAAATTTATTTATTTCTATAATTTCTTGGCTGTCCATTTTATCTCAGGGTAAGTTTCTGTTGTCCCTCATGAAGAGTATATTTTGGGGTGGGGTGGGGGGTGTCACTCTTTATATAACTGAAAACATGTATAATGAAATCAACCTCACAGCAATCCCAAAGCTGCTTTTTCAGGAGAAACTGAAAACGAAAATTTCTATAAGATAATATATCATTGGTATTTAGTTATCCAATATGTATAAAGGCATGTCAGATGAATGTTGGCAGTGTAAAAATAAAGAAGGGACTTTTTATCATCTATGGTGGACATGTGATAAAGCAAAAAAAAATTGGAGTATGATTCATATTTTAATACAGAAAATTTTAAAAATGGAGATAAAAATGAAACTAGAACTTTTCCTTTTGGCCTAATGTAAAAAGAATTGGAGAAAAAAAATTGGAACTTTGTTACTATATATGTAACAACAACAAAAATGCACAAAAATGGAAGGACGCTTCGATTCCTACCATGGACAAATGGTTGCAGAAGTTGATGGAATTGGCGGAAATGGAAAATTGGCTACTTTGATTTAAAAAAAGAACATAAGTACTTTTGTGTCCATATAGAGTCTGCTTCTGAACCTTGTGCTTGGTGTGGAAAAGAATGAAACTCTGGGTTTTACGGACTGGTAGATCTTTATAGTGATGACTTGTTCATACTATTATGGAAAAGCAAAAAGTTGTGATTTGATGTTAATGCCTTATTTTACTGTAACAGAGAGAGTCAGAAGTCAATGCTTCTTTTTCTTTCTTATCTTTCCTCACTTCTCTCCCCCTTGCTCCCCCCCACTGCTTTCCTATTTACTTTTGTATTTTACAATACTTTATAACTCAACAAAAATGTTAAACTGAAAAAGGATGTAAATAATCAGCTGTCTGCAAGGAATATAAATCCTTCCATTCCCCACCATCCAGTCAGAGCTGAAGAAGCTTCTTGGATGAGAAGCATAGTTTTTTCTTCAGAGAAAAAACAAGAAAATCCAATTGCCTCCTGAAAAAGCACTTTTGGGGCAAACCATGACCTGGGTGACTGAGAATCTATACAGACCTCAGAGCAATTTTCTGCCCCTGAGGGAATGGCTTTACACAATGGGGAGGTGTGGGGGTTTCAGTGCAATGTTACTTACATCGTTGTGACTCTCTTGCCCTCCCTTTTTGGGTGTTGATGGATAATGGATTGCTTTTCAAACAAGGAGATTCAATCTGCCCCTCCCCCGCAAACACACAAACACTATTGTTTCCATAGGATTTGCTGACCTCCTTCTTGTGCCTGACACCACCCAAAGGAAAATATATTCTCCATCCTGAATACTATATTCACAGGCAACATAATTGAACATACAGATTTTTCTTCTGTTTTTAAAATCACATTTGGGGTAAAAGAAATATTTTACAAATTTTCTACTGATTGTGCAATTTTGATCCATAAATTTTGGTATAAATTTACTGATGGGAAGCTTAGAAGCAGGTCCTATTCAGTGGTGGGATGCTGCCAATGTAAGAACTGGTTCGGTGATTGCATGCTTTGTGCGTCTTTCAGAAAAAAAAAAATCTTGCCTGCTATGTTACTGCTGGGGAGTAACACAGCTGAGGAGTGGCAATCTGCTCTGCCACGTGAATCAGCTGAGAGGATAGAGGTACGTACAGCGCAGGGCTGGGCGGGCTGACATGATCATCGCAGTGAACTGGTTCGCTGCCAGCTGATCTTCAGAGCTAGGGGTTCACCAGAATAGGTCTAAAATGGTAGAATTGCACCCCTGGTCCTATTGCTCCAATTTGCAAATATAAGGATAACAGAGACACTGTATTTGATCTACAAATCTAAACTATTACTTGAAGTATTATTGTAAATAATCTTTAATTATCGAAGTTTCCTGGTGATTTAATACTATAAAATCTCCACTCCTGAAAGAATGAGAATTTTCAAAAACAAAATTCCAGTGAGACTTTCAGGCATCTATATAAGCAGGATTATCATCTAAAATGTTTGTATACTATCAAGTAACAGATCATACCTGATCTTGCTTCATACAGTTCTACTTGGAATCCCCTTCTTGCAAAGAAAGAAGCATTTAGAGAACCCACCTGCAACAGAAGTATTGCAGTGTTTTTTTGAGTCAAAAACAAAAATATGCAGAAAAGGATTTGAGAGAATGCTACATGATTTCAAAATGCATATTATATTTGAAGCCTTTTTTGTAGGGGAGAATCAAGTCAACCAAATCCCCCCAAATGATAAGATGTTGACAAAATGTAAATGTTGAAGGAGTTTCCTCTGCTAGAAATGTGAGGATTTTGAACATACCACTTGTTTCTAACCACATAAAGAAGTTCCTTTTATAAAAAGAAATGCAGATAATAAGGAAATTATTGCTTCTTAAAACAGTCAAAAGCAAGTTGGAAAATATGTTTTTGCCCTATTATAATATTTTCATTTTTATATCATGTTTTATTTTACATTTATTTATTTAACACACAAGCACTCTCAATTCTGAATTTAAAGCATGTTTGTCTGTAGAATTCCTTTCTTTTTTAATTTGTTCAAAACCACAAATTTTACCAAATTTTACCAGGTATTTTTTTATGCACAGAAATTTCCCAATTAGGAAAAATTGGTTCTACTGAGTTGCTGCAGTTCATATCACAGTATCATAGTTAGAAACTTTTAAGGAAAAGACAAGTGTCCTTGTTGTTTATGGACCATATTCTAATTTCCATATTACTTTATCCTGATTTCTTTAGACACAGCGGAGGCTTTATATCTTTTAATAATAAAACAGGCAACTGTTACTGTAGTCACTTGTCCTTAATAACAAATGTCTCAGAAAGTTTCAAGAAGCTAAATCCTACACAGAATCAAATTAAATTTCTTCCCAATTCATTTTTATAAAAATAAGTGGCATTAGTGGGGGGGGCTGTCTCCCACACACATACATTTTCTCTCTCTCTCTCTCTCTCTCTCTCTCTCTCTCTCTCACACACACACACACACACACACACACACACACTCACTATCCCATACTTAGCAGACATAGAACATCTTATGGTAGCCTTCTGATTTCTGCAGACTGGTGCTAATTAAAAATTAAAACGGTGCTCCAAAATACCAACATAAGTTCAGTAGCTACAATTTTTACTGGGGAGAACTGCTGAAAACAAACAGGTCCAGCAGCATTCCTACCAATGCATTTAAAAAGCTATTGAGAAACCCATATGATAAGGTGAAAACAAATTATGACATACTTGTGGGTAAACATAGGTAAGGAGACATGAAAGCAATCTTTTCTCATCACAGAATGTGCCACTGTTTTCAGCTTAAACAGATTTTTATATTTCACACTAAAGCTCAAAGGTTGAAACATTTTCTGTCAAATAGGCAAACCTTGTTAGGGTTCCTATTCATTCAAATTAAAAAAATAGCCACTATTCAATACCTAGAAACGATGATTAAAATGTGGTTTGCAATTCTGTGATCATATTTTTTTAGATTTTTATAATAATTTAAAAGATCTTACCAATCCTCCCCCAATTATAGCTACTTTTCTTCTCTGTGTTTTAGAAGAATCCATGGTTTGAAAATCTCTCCTTTGACTAATCAGACTAACCGTCTTCTTGCATTCAGCAAAAAATGCTTGCATGGGAGGAGAAAGAGGAGGTTCCATTCAGTTCTATGACCAACCAGATTTTGAAGAAGCAGATGACATTTTGACATCAGGTTTTCTTAGGTTGTTTATTCTCTAATATAACTTTCAGCAGTAGGATAATAAGGTTAAAGATCACCCCTTCCTCACTGCCTCCAAGACAAAATATTTGAATCTGAACTTTGGTATCTGTTACCTGTACAGGTAATCCTCAACTTACAACCACAACTGAACTCAAAATTTCTGTTGCTAAGCAAGACAGTTAAGTGACTTTTGCCCCATTCTACGACCTTCCTTGCCACAGTTGTTATGTGAATCACTGCAATTGTTAAGTTAGTAGCACAGTCATTAAGTGGCTTCCCCATTGATTCTGCTTGTCAGAAGATCACAAGAGTCGATCACATGACCCTGAGACATGCAACCGTCATAAATACATGCCAGCTGCCAAGCATCCAAATTTAGATCATGTAACCATGGGAAGACTGCAATGGTAGTGTGAAAATGGTCATAAGTCACTTTTTTCATTGCCGTTGTAACTTCATATAGTCTCTAAACAAATGGTTTTAAGTTGAGGACTACCAGTAGAAAAAAAGGATGGGGAAAGTCCTAGGTATGCTTCTCACTCAGCTCCTGTTGTGAATCCATTTTTTTTAATTATCAGAGCAGGCTGGAGTGTTTTTTTCTTCTTTCCAGTGTAGGTACTCTTAATCTGAATCTTTTGGGGGAAAAAAGTTCAAAAACATCCTAGTAGTCAGCCAGACTATGGGACTACCTCATAAATTGTAGTATGCTATAATCTGACTCAGTTTGTTTAACATGTGGTACAAAGCACAGTAAAAGCAATCTGTCACTTTTAATTTGTAAACCAATTGCACAATTGAGTACAATAGCTGACTCTGCAGCTTCATGTGTTTTAATGTCCAGACCCTGAAAGTGATGTGTGCAGCGAGCCAAAATTACAAAATGTGTCCTGTCATTGTAATACAAGATCTCCCCCAACCCTTATTTACTTCCCTGAATCTCACAATGCCAGCACAATGGGGGAGGAAAGTTGTGTCAGATGCATTCTTGATCTTTTAATCTCCCTCCCAAAATGGCCACACGCTCATTGTTGAAAAGCTTAAGCAACAATGAGTCAAACCCTTTATTCTGCTTGTTCCTTTTGGGCTACGCATGTAAAATAGGGCAGTAATAGCAAAGAAATACTAAACTTCAAGTGTTTTTTTATCAGGAGTATGTTTTATTTATTTTGACTTCTGAGTACACAGTATTTTAATCTTACATGAGAACAATATAATAATTTATTGTATAAATTGGTGAAACAAGCACAGGAAAATGTATTTGTAGATACTTTTGAATGATTTGGTCTTTCCAATTACAGCATTAATTTAATGGTTGGAACTGCAATCCCAGGAAAAAACAAAATGTATCAGACTGAACAGATGTAAATAAAATAAAACATCAATTTACAATGAAATTCTGTAATTAAGATTTTCTGTTTGAGATGTAATATTGGTAGAAAATTAGGTACTAGAATTTGAGTTTTATTTGCTCAACTACAAATTATTGCTGTTTCTACTCTACCCTTGTGCAAGGGTAAAAATTAGTATTATAAAAATTCATAGTGCTACCACATCTTCTAAGTATCTTCTCACAAGCCCAATACCCAATCTTCTCAGTCTCTTTCCACTGCTGTTTTTTTAATGTATTTATATCTCGCCTTTATTATTTTTACAAATAACTCAAAGTGGTAAACATATCTAACATACCTTCCTCTTCCTATTTTCCCCATAACAGCAACCTTATGAGGCGAGCTGGGCTGGCTTTCACGGATAAGAAAAGGGCTGAACTCATGGTCTGCTGCTTCTTACTACACCAAACTTTTGCCAATCTTCTTGGTGGTCCATAACCCCAGCTCCTTAGCTTTCCAGAGTCTTTAATTTTGGGATTTATAATAACTGTAAATATTGTGTATTTCGTTGAATTTTGCATAGAATGTCAGTGTAGGAAAAAATGGTACCTGTAAATTACACTGCATTTATACTCTCAGTCTCACCCTGTACACACCACTGCAGATAATTAAGGAGACTATATCAAATAATAAGGCACACAGCTGGGTATTAGATATCTCAATTCCCATTTCGCATACACTTACAATACAAAATGGGGAATAGAAACAAAATAAAACAAAAAACTCAAGGTAAATCGCACCAAACTTGATTGCAGGAAATATGACTTCAGCAACAGAGTGGTCAACGTCTGGAATACTCTACCTGACTCTGTGGTTTCTTCCCCAAATCCCCAAAACTTTTAACCTTAGACTGCCTACTATTGACCTCACTCCTTTCATGTGCCTACCATCCCTGTCCTATTGTTTCTTTTTATTTTTTTATATGTTTCCATTTCATGTATTCATAACTATGTTTATACTTATACCTATTATTTTGTAAGCAATTGACAAATCACCTAAATAAATAAATGAAACAAAAAGACTAACAGTTCTGTCCTGCAAACATCCAGCCATAAATTCAGACTTGGACTTTCATGCAGGACTCTGCTGCCACCTAGTAGTCATATAAGATTTTGCAGTCACAATCTGAGAGTCCTAAAGGAAAGACATTTGGCCTGAGAGTATTGACCTTTCATTCAAGAACTTGACCTATCACTAACACGTGATCTTCTAAAACTTTAACATGGATTCTGTCAAATCACTCAAGAGACAGTTATTGAAGAACTGCAAGCCTCACATACACAGTTGGGGATGCTCAGACATAGACATTACTCAGGAGCAAATTCATGCTCCAAAGCAGAACTCATAAGTGGAAACTTGAGAGCCATTCATGTAATCCTTTAATTACCACCATTCATTTAGTGACCATTCAAAGTTACAGAGGCACTGAAAAAAGTGACTTATGACCAATTGTAACATCCCCATGGTCATGTGATCAAAATTTGGGTGCTTGCCACCTGGCACGTATTTATGACAGTTGCATTGTTCTGGGATCATGTGATCACCACTTATAATCTTCCCAGCTGGCTTTCAACAAGCAGAATCAATGGGGGAAGCTAGATTCACTTAATGACCATGATTCGCTTAAAAACTGCAATAATTTGTTTAACAACTGTGGCAAAATGATAATAAAATGGAGCAAGTCTCACTTAACAACTTCCTGGTTTGTTACTGTTTTTGGTGGCACAGTTTCATAAACAAAAAACACAAGTTCATTCCATTTGGAGGGAAAAGAAAGATTCAGAAAGGATTGTTGATGTTTGAAGTTTAAACATTAAGAAACCAGAGCTTCCCTAAGCCTGGACATGCCATCCTCATTTGTTTCCATGACACCCATGGTAACTCCTAGCTCAGGACTAGAGGATTGCCTGCTGCTTATATCATTGTTGTAACTCTTCTCTATATACCCATTCTCTTGCTATATTTGATAACAAGTGGTCTGAATCATCAGAGAAACTTCTCCAATGTTGCATGCATAATAATAATGAAATGTAGATCTCTATAGAGGCAGAATAGCTTTGAGACTGATTGGAAGGACCTCTGTTCTGAAAATTGCTTCTATGCCAGAATATCGTAAGAAATAAAAATCTTATTCAGGGATTTGCATATGGAGAAAATTCAATTAGAGGAGGATGGGTAACATTCAACCCTGCCCCAATTTCTCCAGCTGTCATGCTTCACGTGATAGGACTGAAAAAGAGTTCTAATGTTTACTTATAAAGGTGTCAGTACAATCTGGACTCCCCTTTATTTAGATCAAGGGTCTTCAAACTTGGCAAGTTCAAGACTTGTGGACTTCAACTCCCAGAATTCCTGAGCTAAGTCCACAAGTCTTAAAGCCATCAAGTTTGAGGAGCCCTGATTTAGGTCCTGGATCATGCACAGAGCTGTAATTGTATTCAAGGAAGGACGGGTTCAGTTCCCTTTCAGATCTCTTGATTAACATGAGGAGGTTGGAGAGCTCTCCACTGACACAGGAAAAGGGATTTTGCTGAATGTAAAATCTAGAATTGTCATTACTAAGAAAAGGACGAGGATTTTTTCAGTCTCTGAAAGAACTGGATCTGCTGCTGAAGTAAATTCATTGGCTAACAGCATTAACTTTTCCCCAGAATTCCAGGGTTTAAAACAGTTCATTTAGTGACTGGATGGCTTCAGGATGGTTAGACTCTACATAGAACAGGGCTGTAAAACTCCCGGCCTATGGGCCGGATGCATCACACACTGACCACGCCCAAGCCCGGCTTAATGAAGGGGAAAAAAGTCCCGATACATCACGTGATGTACAGGTGGTATGCAGCAGATTCCGACCAGTTCTGGAGAACCAGTAGCGGAAATTTTGAGTAGTTCAGAGAACCGGCAAATACCACCTCTGACTGGCCCCACCCCCATCTATTCTCTGACTCCTGGGTCCCAGCTGATTGGCTGAGTCTTCTTTGGTTGCCCTGCACAGGAGAACAGAGCTGGAAAGCAGGTTAATGGGATGGGGAGGGAATGGCGATTTTGCAGTATCCTTCCCCTGCCACGCCCACCAAGCCATGCCCACAGAACCAGTAGTAACATTTTTTTAATCCCACCACTGATGTGACGCCACCGTGACAACATGAATTTGATACCTCTGTTCTAGAATCTCTATCTCTGTATCTATTTAGCAAGACTTTTTTTTATTACATGTAAGCAAATAAAGAATTAGAATCAATTGGACTCCATTCTATTTTCCTTGGGCTTGGGCCTGACACTAAACAACAACATTGTTTTCAAATAGCAAAGAAGATTCCAATCCACTCCTGGTGAGAAGCCCTAGAAGTTTTAAACTTTGAACATTCTGCACATATAACCCAGAATTATTTAACGTGCACAAAAGAAAAGTTCTCTATTATTTTGCAATAGAATAAGTATTTTATGAACAGCCCGCACAATAGTTTTGATTTCTGGGACACCCCTTTTTCTCTCT